TTAGAGGCAAATCATCTGAGATTATAGCAGTTTGCCATGACTTTTGACACTTGGAAGACGAAGTACAACTGTTTTGTTTGTATTTTATGTACTTACACGAAACAAAATTATCCTTTTGCCCTATCCTTGTCCATTTGTTTACCGTTTCTTTAACATTGCAATTGAACCGAAAGTTATGCATCTCTCACTTGTTTTTTTTTTAAATATATTTCTGATAATGTTTTGTTTTTACCGGCTAGACGATCGGTTTGATTCCTCGCAGACGATGTTTTTTTTCTGTTCTGTGGCATTTTTTGGCCCCAGAGAGCAGACACCTTATCGCCATATCTGTAGAAGGAGTACGAGACAAGAACTCCGGTCCACGATGTGTCGTGTGCCCTCAGTCTTCTGGTGTCTACACTGTGGAACTGATTAGGTACAGTTGTACTTTATCACCAGACGTAGTGACAAGGAACAAATTGCTCACTAAAAGAGACCCTGATAATGGATAATATTCAATGAATATACGTTAAAATATACAAATGTTTGCCCATAGTGATGGTAGGATACATAAAATTGGAACTCTACAGAAAGTCGCCTGTAGTCTTGTGATTTCTGGTGACGTGTAATCTTGTATGTTGTTACCAACGCTTCGGAGGAACGTAATGCCTCCATCTTCAGGACCGGACCTTAAACCTTATGTCGCCTAGAAGTGTTTTTGAAACATTGTTTCATGTTAGCACAGAGAACTGTTACGCTCATAACCACAATTTGAAGTAACAGTATTTTCAACAGCACAAAAATGATAATCGACTTTTTAAAGACAACCGTTTTATATCAGTTTATTAATTAAAATATATTTAACAGAGACAGACGCCTGTATAGTAAGTTTATTTTTCGAAATGAAAATTAAACACCGCTCTATTGTTTAAGAAAAACGTTCCTAAAAACGCGAGTTTTTTTTTTTGCGGGAATAACAGATATAAAATAACAGTAATTAAGCCAGTCTATTTGGGGCGTGCTATTTTTAATTTACGACTATATAATTATAGATTCCCTTTCGCATGTTATGCGTGCGCTTAAGAGCACATCAACTTTAATGGATGCTGACACGAGATCGCTATTCGCTTGTTTAACCACGTTGCATTTCTGTTATTCCAGGGCTTACCGCTGTCTTGCCTTGACCTCCCCTGAACTACCCAACCCAATCCGTCGTGTATGCTACTATCTTTTCCAATTACATTGAACTAATAATATTATTGGGCACGCATTCTTACGCGGCAACTTTCCCATTTCATAATATAACACTTTGCTATTCGTCTGTATTTATCTTAACGATGAACATAACTATCTAAACATCTAGCGGAAGGTTCGCTAACTTTCATGACCGGAAGTAAGTTTATTGCGTAATATGTAGCCAGTTAAGAGGCCAGAGTTGCCAAATATCTGCATACCCTTAATTCTGTAACGTCTTTGATCGGTTTGACAAATGAATGTTAAGTATAATGATTCCAGGGGAACGTCTCGCAGTTCCATTTTGCATTATATTCCCCTACATTGTCGCAGAATATTCAATTGAATAAAGTAATACTGTACTAGTTACGAAAGATAATTAGTGAAACTGTGTCCTTTGTTAATGCTGCCTCAAGGTAAAATTACAGGCTAATTACAATTTTAACTAACTGTAGATTTTGTATATCAAATCTAAAACTTCCTGACAATGGTGAAGAATCAATTGAATAAAAATTTCCTTGGATATTATCCATCGTCTAGTAAATATAAAACGTAAAAAACGACGTTTCGGAGATGGGACTCTATCTCCGGAGATAGGGATTAGCTCTATCTAGTGGGCCCAACTGTGTAGGAACCTGAAGACGGAGATAGAGTCCCATCTCCGAAACGGCGTTTTTTTTACGTTTTTTACGTTTTATATTTACTAGACGATGGATAATATCCAAGGAAATTTTTATTCAATTGTAGATTTTGTATTTATGCGAAGCGTTGTAATTCTCTTCGAGATTGTTCTGTCTCCTAGCGTATTTTTTGATTGAGTATTTGCCAAGCGATGAAGCATTTATGAACTTCAATCTTTGATACAGAAGCTCGTCTAGAAATAGTTAAAAACTCAGTTATTGCGTCAAAGAAATCAATGCGTCTCAGTTAAAAAAATTGACAGTGGAACCGCGGTTCCTTAGTTAACGTTGAATAACGTATAACTGTAGAAGTATATTTGTACTGAAATAAAATTTTATTTACATATTAATGTATACCTTTACATCTTATCTATACGTGACATCCGCCGACAGCTTATCTATGTGTTGTGTCATGTACTCAACACTCTAGAACGTTTTTTGTTACCAAATAAATGGCCATAACTCCTAAACCGTACGAGTTATCTGAAATCTGTTTGCAAATTTGAAAAGCTCGTGTTTATTTACGTATTTTACTCGTTATATGTCCTGATCTAACTCTTAGGCTTTACACGTGGCAAGCGGTTGAAGTTAAGGAACGAGGGTATAGTTATTACATGTTTTTGGGTAATTATTTAAAAAAATGTGTAAAATATACATTATAGAATATAGTAAACATCATGTACAAAAAGCCCTTTATTTACTCTTTAATTTACATAAGGTTTATATTCTCTATCTTACATAGGTCTCGAGTTATTGGCGTTTGAGGAAGTTACACACCAGCGTTACCTTACATCTTACAGTTTCCGTCGAGTGTAACCGTGATTTTATAAACGTTATTCAACGTTAAAAATCAATTTGTTGACGCTGCTTAAGGAAACAATCTCTGTTTGTACTGAGAATCATATGAAACCCAAATCCATCATGTGGGTAAAGCCCATACTTACTTATTGTTAAAGCAGCTGGTACGTATAGTTACCACTGGGTTTCAAATGGTTAAATTCTGAAATGAACGAAACGGTTTCGATTGTAACCGTTTCATCTTTCGTAAGTCAATTACGAATAGACAGACCAGTGCGTATGGCGCGTAGTGACTCAGCGATGCTATTTATAACTTTCATTTGTCATTATAAAAGTTTTTACGAACCACCCCACTTCCTTCCCTCGCGATGTTTTGAAAGCCCTTCGTTGGTAGTAGCTTTGTGTCTTTTGCTTTAGACTTCGCATATGGATGGAACGTTCAGAAGTTATTTACAGTGGCGTTCTCGTCTTTTATAAAAAGACGAGTCTCGTGTTCCGCTCTCTTCAAGAGAAGGGAGGACTGTACCATCTGTAATTTGAAATTGTCTGTCAACTCAAGAGAGGCCCAAGTGATGTATATGTAAGGACATGGGGCACATTGTGTATTGAGCTTTGTAAGTGAACGGAAATAGCGACCTTGATGAACTCTCACAATGTCAAGCTAAGGCGCAAACCTGCTTCGACCACTTTAATACTGGGGTCATGGGTTTGATTCCCACCTGTGGCCCAAATGTATTGTCAGAATTTTTTTGTCATGTAGATGTCTCGAGAATGGCCGCTCCCTCGTTCACTCAGGCTTGCCAAATGTGGAAAAGGATTAATAGTTTTAGGAGTTAATTCTGAATTGCAACACCAGAGGGCGTAATCCTTAAAAGCTGGAGAAGACTTTTGTTCTGTCTCCAGGTAAATGCTCCCGACAGTCTATTCATGCCTCGGCATCTAGTTAGTTAGTTAGTTAGGTCATGTCAGATCAGATCTTATCTTCAGAGTTTTAATATGAAAGAGTCACTCCATTTTGTAGTTTTCACTGATTTGAACACTTCTTTAAAGACCATTCCCGAATTATAAGCGTGCACCAAAAAGGAGCTGAAGTTTATGATGCTTAAGCCGGGTTGTGTTTGTCATGTTGAAAAGTGTTTGTCTTTTGGGGTCCTGCTCTATACACCTGTCTTGCTCTCAATCAGGTGGACGGCTCACGAGTGCGTGTACGTACCCCGACACGAAATGACAACAAAGACTTGATTTCCTGAGCAAAGAAATAGGGAAACAAAACCATCCCAGTCATTTTAAACGTACGAGTAAAATAAAGTATAATATTAATATTGATCTTAAGAAGCGCTGCCGAGGAATGGGGAGAATTTTGAACCTGGTGAACTCGTATAGCATTTTTAAGAATGATTCTGCCCCATGGAACTAGTGTTCACGCTCCAGCCTTGCATTCCGATTGCTGCTACTTATTTGTGATCACCCAGTAGCTAAATATGACGCACCAGGAGGATACAGCCTTGCATTCCGATTGCTGCTACTTGTTTGTGATCACCCAGTAGCTAAATAGGAGGAATTTCAGGATATCTGTAAGGGTTACTGTGTTACTTTAAATTTCTTGTTCTTGCTTCTGAATACAGTGATTTGTTTGTCTTATTTCGAGAATTATTGTTTGGTTTACGCGAAGATTCTTGATGGAAACTTCACAGTCTAATTATAAGACATTGCATACACATTCAAAAGCAGGTGGACCCAGCAAGAACGCGTCTGACCTGCGAGGTACACAATTTGAATTGAAAGTATAACCGGTTGTCCAATTCTTCCAGACAAACTCGTGATTAGAAGGCGTACCTTGAAACTGTATATTGCCTCTCGTTTCTCCTACCTTTCTGTCTCTTCGTACATAATAAACCTCTCGACGAGAAACATTATGTGATTCCACAAAGCAAGTGATATTGTACGTATTTCACAGAAGGGTACTTAAGTTTCAGACGAAGTAGAATTCTACGAGTATCTTTTCATCACAGCCCAACGCTTTTTAAATGTTTCAGTTGAAAAGAACTGATTTTACCAAGTAAGTGGAATATGCTCAGAAAGAAAAGTCAAAAAAGTGGGTGGTTATATAATTTTCTGGAAAAAAGTTGAATTATTGTCTTTTAACTGTTCTAAGAACCTGTTTTATTCCGACAATATATACAAATTGAAAATATGCTTTTAGGAAAACAAGTTTTTATTTACGAACATGTGGCTGTTACATAATGTTTTTTCTTATGATATTTAATAACTTATTAATATGTGTAAAATAATTCTTGTTTTTATTTACAGACGAACAAGAACGAGTGCAGAAGAAAACGTTTGTCAACTGGATCAATTCTTATCTATCAAAGGTAAGAGTCCTGCCAAACAAATTGTCCTCTTAAAATGTATGGCATGACTATGGGGGGTAGTGACTTTCGATCCTGAATATTGGGTTTGCCATGCGCCACCTTACCTTGGAGTAAATATGTTTTGAGGTCTGATTAGCAGTTTGCTGCAAAGTGTGTATGTAAATATACCGACAGATGATTATCAGTCCTCTATTGCCTGGATGTTTAGTTCCACGCTCCAGGAATTTAACTGCTGTTTCATATTCTTTGTAACTCGGCTAGACTTGATATAAGTTGTGCTGCATGCTGTTGGTCACTGTGTACCCTGCACCAATGTTGTTGAAACTTGAAAACTCACGATTTTCTCCACATTCAAAAATATTTCTTCCTCTTAAGCAAAATTGGAAGAATAAGAAAACGAGCTGAGTCGCCACTTTTCGTGAAATACGTTAAGGGAGTGTTAATATTTTATATAAATGGAAATTTTCCGATTATTATAAATACTCTTTGAAAGCATGCGAGCCTAAATATTAATGAAAGATGTCGAAAAATAGCCATTTTAGATACCCTTCTTTAATAGGTGGCCTTCGGGCTGAAACGATTTGTGGCATGTGTTATTTGCAAAGGAGAAATATAATATTCCCTTATTTTCAAAGGAAGGAAAGGGATATTCCATTCAAACTGGAATTGATTTCTAATATCCGTCCTGATGTTTGGTGGACATGAATCTAGGAATCAGTGACTCACTGGTAAAGCCATTAGAGTATGCACAATACAAACCTTGAACTTAATAAAATCTATGGAATGTGATTTCTGGCTTGTCTTTAGGCCTACGTAATATACTCGAAATTTCCATCGGCTTCTATTTATTTCGGTAAATAAATAAATTGTTAATATGAGTAAATAATCATAGCAGCACGTGTGACGATCGTACTGATGCTGGAGGCAGCAAGGACCTATGAAACATTTGTAAAATTTTACCAGATTACACGGCTCTACAACCCAGAACACAGCCATCTTTATAATCGCCGTAAGAACTTTATCTGGTGCTGAGGAGAACGGCTATGTGGGTCCAAGAGTTAGGAAGCAAAACAGACTTGAGAAAATTTTATATTAAAAAAACTTAATAATTTGTAATTTTCACAAAATAATGTTTCGGCGTCCAAGAGGCGGGAAATGAAATGCACGTACAAAATTCTAACCAGGAGAATCTTTAAATTTCTTAAGTAAAGAGATCATTTGATAGACCTAGGTGTAAATGGGAAGATAATATTAAAATCGTTCTTAAATAGTGTCTGAGGATGAAGGCTGGTCGTATCGGGATCGTGTATTTAATAAATATTGGGGAATTTTTTGAGCAACGAACGACTTAGTTTCAGAGAAACGGATTCTGCTCCATTGAGTGTTGTGGATACAAAATAACTTTAACATGCGCAAGACTGACAAGCAATTTATAGCGTTGTTCTGCACACGTGTTTTTCAACATGAACGCCACAGAATTTCCTGGAATTGTTTATTGCGTTATGTTAATGTTGCTTACGCTCATTAACAATGGATTCATTGCAAGGCATCGACACGTTTTCTTTAGTGCTTAACTGAAACATGAGCAAATGGACTTCCGAAGTTCGATTCCAGGCAGAGTCACACCCGATCTGGGGCCGATCTTCATTGATTAAGCACAGGGATAACTTTACCAGCGGTCGTTTTTTATATTTCAACATGTAGTGGTGTTAAACTTCCTTATTTGTTGTCTGTTCGTTGATTAGCCGAATAAGGATCGAGTGTTGATAAGAATATCTGCGCCTTGGAGTTGGTGTTAATGTAAGGCGTTCGTTTCAGTTCTAATAATTAACACTGTGACAATATCCGAAGGTTACGCGCAGTTTAACACCCAGGCTTGTACTACAGGGAGCTAATTTTCTGAGGCCTTAGTTATCGGCACAGAAGATATCAGATTATAGAGGCGATACATCATTTAGTATCAAAATATCGATACACATACGTCCAGACAGATGACTGTCGTTATACGCTGTGGTCGAGTATTTACGAATCCCGCGCACATCGAAAACGCGTAAAACGGAACATATATAACATCCCCGTGGATTTTTTTTTTGAGTGATACTGAATTTTTAATCCCTGGAGTCAAAATTGTGGGGGTAAGTTAGTAAAATTGCGCTTGCAAATGAGTGGGCCTACGCGACAGCTTTTAACCGTGGCCGCGAATAGGATATTGATACTTCTCTTGATGTTGAAATAAAACAGCGGATAAGGAAACTGTGTTTTTGCAAGAGTCACATGTATTTCGATTCCGTTTTGTCCTTTCCTGTTACCAAATTCTACACCGCAAACGTTTGCTGGTTCGAACCCTGTGGTGATTAATTGGCAACTAGATCTGTTTATACAAATGGTCGCTGCTGGACGCGATCCTGAGCTATGTTCATCTCCCCCATCCTAATGATCTGTCTCCGTAGATGAGTATTGAGGTGTCTTTCCATTTCTTTACCGAACTTGTAATTGGATGTTTCTCAAGAGGTTTCTTCAGCTCTATTCTGCCTCCTTGATCTTCCCGAATTTAGCAATATACCCTGCCGATCTGTCTTATAGATTTCACCGTCTTCAACGCTGTCCACGCGACTCGTTTTAATCGCGAAGCTATCTTTAAGTCACTTACCTCCGTCTAGAATCCCTGAGTTCAGTTACCAGACAAGTACAACAGGTTGTGTAGCTTTTCTGACACGTTGCCATGAATTTGCATTCCGTGTTGTAAGTAGGCAGTGCACGTTGCTTTTCAGAGATGAGTCTAGAGTCCCTCCTTCTTTTTATTACCTGCTCGACCAACCGCGATTCTCAAATGCGGGTTTCTCAAGGTCGCCCACCACTTATTCAAGTGATAAAACAAGTAAGTATAAAAGTCCATTTAAGGCTTCAGGAGGAACCTAAGTCTCCATCACAGGATTTTCAGAACATCTTGTTCCAACGCCGATACGATTATACGCTGTCTGCTAAACACGTAGGAGACGAAAATAAAACACTTGTTGGAACGGATGAAGACGGCTTAGTTTAGCATCATTCGGGAAATCTTTAAACAGTTTTACAAGTAAAGTGATATGTGAAAATTTTACTGATTAATAAAAAAAATCACCCATTCCTGTTCGTGTTGGTCCCGAACCATAATCTATACATCAGATGATTCCTAAGTTTGATGCCAAACTTTATGCTAATATTTTATTTTCTTGAATTTTATGTTGGAGAATTTTTACAGGAAATTGTCGAAGTGGCTCAGTTTTTATTCAGATGGACAATTTTAATTAATGTCCTACATAAGAGCGTAAATACTTCTTTAGCTCTGTTGAGCGCCCAAGTTTTACGTCTGGAGGATAGGTGTGATTCGAGTGAGGGACTCGGGTTTTGGTTTTTTGGCAGACTGTCTTATAGAGTATGTTTGGATTTGCAGTCGTCTTTTTAAGATGCAAATTTAGCCGGCTATTCTATGCTGCCTAATAAATTGCAAGTTTCTATCCCGATATCACCCTTCATTCCCAATCTCATCAACACTGGCAAAGTGAAAATTGCAGGTCTGATGCTAGTTCAACCAGGGAGTACGACAGATTGGATTTCTCGCCTCTTACCACATTTTTTACCTGCTGATGAAAGCAGGATCCATCTTTCTAAACTTTGTAATTTTATGAAGTTATAACTTTGACGATGGACAAATGCCAAAATAAAAATTTTACACGTTACAACGCACCATATTCAGAAACCTTCAATCGAAGACGATTTCTGCACGTTCACTTCATAATGAAGTCGCTAATTAACTCAGCTGCTATGGATGGATCTGAGTAGGCGTACAGAAACTCATATGAAGCTGTCAATGTGACAAGTACACATCTATCTCTCTCTCTCTCGCTTATTTATTTAATTGATAGAGTCACGTATTGAATGGTATTTTGACATTCGGTTTATTTTTGGTACTTCAGATTTTATGTTCGTGTTTTACTAAAATAGCTGAATGATTAAAGAATTTTAAGCCGTGTGTTGAACATATACTTTGATCAACTCTGACCGTCCTAAACGTAAATAAAATATCCACCGCACGTAGGCGTGATGACGTTTCCTTTGTGAATTGTTTGAAGGAACTGGAGAAAATGAAACAGTTCACCGATTGCTCCAGGCTCTTGGACGATCTGTTGCCACTCAGGACTCCAATTTGTAAGGTATCTGGTTTAGATCTCGGCCCGGAGGCCGGTTATCCCGACTGAGAGTTATAGTGGTTGTCCTCCGTCCCTCCTGGAAAGTGCGGGGATAATATTGTCGAATTATGGTATGACTGCTTCTTTCAGTATTATTTCTAATTTATTATTCACTTTTTATTAAGTCTATCATTCTATACTATAGACTTCAATTTCCGGGGTTTGAGATTACCATTATCCGATAGGCCTCAGATGATAGGGCGTATAATTTTACCTGACGACGGAAGCAGATCCATCTCCGACACATGTTTCTTAGAGGTTGGTGTGTAAGAAAAAGCGAAATGTCAAAAAATGATTTTAATGTAGTGCTCTGTTAAAGTGTTGAGAAGAATATTTTGTACAATCACAGAACATCACGTGATAAATAACAAAGAAACTTGAGTCTAATCTGATTCCTGCCTTGCTGTTGTTTGTTGTTAAACGAACTAAAATAATCTCACCTTTTCCTTGGGTAAATGAATGTTCGATTAGTCTGTTGTAAGTTGTCTGACCAGAAGGCGCTTATTTACGGAAAATATTTACTGGGCGTAATTGGTAATTAATGACATGCTACAAAGGAACGCCATAGTTGGGAATTTAATTTACGTAACATTTGTCTTTTTCGAAAATATAGGTTAGGAAATTCAACCGAAAGCCTCAGTTGACCCTGACGTTACTTAAAGAGAACACATTTCCATGTCGTGCCTTTCTGAAGCCGTCGTGTGGGTAATTTTAACAAGAACCGTAGGCTTATTTCATGTGCCTTACCAGATCCTTTGTTTTGTTCCGATGAATTTATGTTATTTTTCTGTGTCCTGAGAAGAGAATTTCAACAGGATACACGGGGCAGAGTACTGCTTGAGAAGCCAGTACTTCTCTTAGCTAGTCAAGAAATTATGAAACCGTAAGGTCCATATCGTAATCACAAAAGCCTGCCATCGGTCTCTGACCTGAGACAGATTAATACGTTTCACATTCTCCTGCTTTGTTTCGTTTAATGTAGTGCTCTGTTAAAGTGTTGCGATGGATATTTTATACAATCACAGAACATCACGTGATAAATAACAAAGAAACTTGAGTCTAATCTGATTCCTGCCTTGCTGTTGTTTGTTGTTAAACGAACTAAAATAATCTCACCTTTTCCTTGGGTAAATGAATGTTCGATTAGTCTGTTGTAAGTTGTCTGACCAGAAGGCGCTTATTTACGGAAAATATTTACTGGGCGTAATTGGTAATTAATGACATGCTACAAAGGAACGCCATAGTTGGGAATTTAATTTACGTAACATTTGTCTTTTTCGAAAATATAGGTTAGGAAATTCAACCGAAAGCCTCAGTTGACCCTGACGTTACTTAAAGAGAACACATTTCCATGTCGTGCCTTTCTGAAGCCGTCGTGTGGGTAATTTTAACAAGAACCGTAGGCTTATTTCATGTGCCTTACCAGATCCTTTGTTTTGTTCCGATGAATTTATGTTATTTTTCTGTGTCCTGAGAAGAGAATTTCAACAGGATACACGGGGCAGAGTACTGCTTGAGAAGCCAGTACTTCTCTTAGCTAGTCAAGAAATTATGAAACCGTAAGGTCCATATCGTAATCACAAAAGCCTGCCATCGGTCTCTGACCTGAGACAGATTAATACGTTTCACATTCTCCTGCTTTGTTTCGTAACATCCATTTCAATATTATCTTCCTATCTACGCCCAGGTATTCAGGCTTTCCATCCCAAATTTTGTGTAGTACATGCCCCGCCCATCTCACCCTAATTAATTTGGTCGTCACAATATTATTTGGCGAAGTGCACAGATTATGGGAATTTCACTTGCCGTACTGTAATGTGATTATTTTGGTTGTAATGTTAAATACCGTCTGGTTCTATCGATATAGTGTATATATCGATATGCTGTAGGGCAGTGGTATTCAACCTTTTTTGTTCGCGTACCCCCAGATATAATTTATCTTCAACTTTGTACCCTCAAATTTGTTGGTGTATAATTCAAGTTATACATAATATATAAGCTACAACTAAAATAAATTAAATAAATTACATTATTGATTATTCAATGTTTATCATAAAATAATATATATTTTTTTTAAATTTCATGTACCCCCTAAGATGTCTTCGCGTACCCCAGATTGAAACCACTGTTGTAGGATGTGTTCCTTGACAACTCCCTGTTTGTAACGGCTTTGTCCCCAGTTATTTTTACGGGTGTGTGCAGAATGTGCACGTTTGCCTTTGTTCATTGATTTTCTCGAACACTTCAGTTTTCTTTTTATGGGTTGTTATGTGATTAATGTTAACAACATAGCTTAATGTTATAAAATAGTGAGGTTTAAGAAGTTTGGATGGGCAGGGAATTTGGCTAGAATGGAGACAAGGGGTGTACAGAGTTTTGGGTCAGGTAACATCTTGGAAAACAGACATTTTGAAGACCGAAAGGAAGGTGGGAGGAAAACATTAAGTTGGATTTAACAGAGAAGGTAAGAAGCAGATAAAACTGGCTCAGGGTTGTGACCTACGATATTGGTCATACTGAATCTTCGTGTTTTAGGCACGGTGACTAACACAGATTTAAACATAAAATGTGTGTGCATCAGAATTTCAGATACGTATGTTTATGACATTGACATTGATACATTTCTCTCACATTTTTGTTAATTGGAAGGTGAGTGCAGTTTGTAAAGTCGGTCTTGTTAGTTCGGAAAAACAGACGATGACAAAATAGCGAATCGATTCTGATTGTTCTCTCAAAAGCAGGCCCGGACACGCTGGCGTGTTCTGACTCAGAAATGAGACGCGAAATCTTTTATACACGTGATAGGAATTCCTGAATGGGGCATCAGAACAGCGCAAGGTCTCCACCATTATGTAACACCTCTAGAAATGGCCTATGTAGTCTCAGAGTGGGATTCATACGAACGTTAACTTCCAGGTCTGGGGGTTGATAAACCACGGGGCCTAACAGATAAGCCTTGTCCTCTTTCCCCTCTTTTTTAAACCTAAGACAGAAGTAGAATCCAGCTTTCGAAACGTCGTGGTTTTATTGTTTTATAAGTTAGACGATGGATGAAGTCCAACACAACAAATTAACATATTAAACACGCCATCGTCAGAACTTTGAGTCTTTCGTGTCTGAAAGTTGGAAACCATCAACAAATCTTACTTTACTGCATAATGACTTTTTTTTCGGGAAGAAATTGGCCCTAGATTTACTTCCCTCGCCAAATACTTCCTCAGGGGTAAGTTACGTCAAGACAAGTCATGGCGAAGTGCGTGTGAACAACGAGTAATTAAAATTAACTTTGTTATGCAATGTAACAGACAGACACAAGCAAAACTCCTATCGCCCTTTTGTCTGCTTTGTATCCAAGGCAAAGTTAATAATTACCAAGTGAGAACTACTCCGTAGGGCACAGAGCAGTTTTTAAATTCAAAATTAAAATAGCGTGTTATTCATGGCGTTACTGCAAAGGCAGGATGAGATAAACAATAACGACTTCTAACTCAGGGAACCGGACGTTTCAGTATACTGGATTAGCTCTGCTGCTTTGAATTAGGGAGGTCCCAGTGTGGGATATCATTTATATGTCTTCTATATTTAACAAATGCATCGGAAATTGTTGCTGAAGTACAGTGCAGTCTGATAGTGGTATCGGCTGTGCTCAGGTTAGATTCGAAAGTCCGTGGTATCAGATCTGTATGTGGTCTTTCCACAGTGTAAGGGGGATTGTGTAATGTCCGAATTTCGATGAAGTTTCTTATTGGTGACCTACAATAAAGAGGATATTTATTTTTGTTTTGTGTTGCCCTTGTTCTTTCCGATTTTCGGAATAAGAACTGCTCGTCGTAAAAAAATTGGTTCGTCATAAAATATCGATCTCTTCTTTTCTGGATAATTATTTTAAAAATTTTTTTGATCTGATAAATATTTAACGGAATATGGGGGAAATAATTTCTGGAGGTGTGTAATATGATGTTGGTAGCTTTACATCAAGGGACATCAAATCCCAGCGAGTAGCAAAGGACGTCATTAAAACGTAGTCTATTGTCAATATTTGGTGCAATGTAATCCTTTTATTTACCATGTTAGGGACGCAGCATTGATCGAATCTCGTACCGTGTAGTTGCTAAGGCAGTGTTTATTTCGGAACGTAGACCATAAGATGAAAAGGAATGCAAGGGAAGAACCAGATGACGTCGGCAATAGCGTTAAGCCTACATTCCCATTCCGAAAGCAACTCTCTTGTTGATATGGAAATGCTGGTGCCACAGCTGTGCCTTAGTTGGATCTATTGTTCAAGTAGAACCATGTTTCTTTCAGTAACCTCGTCTTGTAAAAAGTTGGTTGTGCGGTTACGTGGTTCAAATTTAGGCTGCAATTTCGGACCGAGATTATGTATCTGGCGGTGAATCATAAGCGTATCCCATTTCAGAGTGGGTAGAACAAGATTTTTTTCCAACCTGTGGTTGTTATGTTCTTGGAAGTCTTTATATAAATGCTTGTAGCAAATTGTTCTCTTCAGAAATGCCACACTTTGAAAATGAAGGTAAACGGTATTATCGCTTGAAGTGACAAGTTTTGATAAAGCAGATATTTGTTGAAATAAATTATCACAGACACAAAACAAGTGGATTTGTGCCCCACATATTTTCCAAATGTGTTCTTTGCTGCTTTACATACTTCATTGACCTGAATGATCATTTGAATCCATTGTTGCAAATACAAATCTTCTGCTACAAAGCTAGCTAATCGAAGTACATTGCATGGTATATTATTATTATATTCATGGCATCAAAGTATTTCAATTTCCACTTATAGGTGTGAATTACGTATAAGTAGATTCCGGTTAATATTCATTGTAAAGAAACTGAAGACTTCATACAGATAAACATGTTACGTAAAGTAAAACGTTTCACGTAAGGCATTTATGATGGTTGATTACATTGAGAGTTGTCATTGTTTTCTTCCTTGCAGCGAGTTCCACCGCTTCGGATAGATGACTTGATTGATGACTTGAAGGACGGAACTAAGCTGCTTGCCTTGCTTGAAGTCTTGTCAGGTGAAAAGTTGGTGAGTTAACAGATAAAGAACTGCATCACAGCCATTCGTTTGTTCAGATACTAGTGTATTATGTACTGTGGATTTCAGCGTGAAATCTATAATAGCGCAGTATTCTTTCCCATTTTGACACGTTGGCAGAAATGATGCCATTTGTTGCACACATCCCGTGACTCTTTGCTGAGCGCAGTGTATTGAATTTCACAATATCAATTTCCGTAGCCATTCACCCTTTTAAAGAAATTTTAAATAAATCAAAGCCCTTGTTAAACCACTGATATCGGTATTCAGAGTACTAGCTCTGCTAAATATATTATGTTACGCATTCTGTCCGCAGCTCACTATTTATATCATCTTTATTTCAGCCAGTCGAAAGGGGACGCAACTTAAAGCGGCCACACTTTCTTAGTAATGCCAACACTGCCTTGCAGTTCCTACAGAGCAAAAAGGTACACTCCGTTACATATAAATCAATTTCATTTTATTACCATGTCATACCATACACAGTGTTGCGCGCGTGCGTGAGCGTGCGCGCGCATTCTAACACACAAAGAAACAGGATGCCCTAGAAAGATGTATACACACATTCGGGGAATGAAATAAACACATTTTAATATTCTAAACCATTACATACGTCTGCATTGTCACTTGGTAATTTCGTGGCACAGTTGACAGCAATGAGTAACTGACCGACAAGTGGCCATTAAATTTGCTGCTGGGATAGATGAAGTGTTGCTGGCTTTGTGCTGTACGCCCTATTTATCGGTCGGGAAAAGTTTTGTAAAAATGGGCCATGATATCACGATGGTGATGTTGGAGGGTTGCCTCATTTTATTGATACATGCCCTCATCTCCATACAGTTGACAAATATAATGTGTATACATATTTTTGGGATAGGCACAAGAGCATGGATGTAGCCATGGATGGAAGGGAACTGGTGATTGTCAATCTTTTGTATTCTTTGTCCAACTGAGCATTTTGTCCTAAAAATTGTTGCATATTAACATACAATATTTATATTATTTTAATATTTACAGTTTCCACCTGTAGATGTAAATATATTAATGGGAGAATGGTATGTTCTAGACTGAAAAGTTAATATCATTGTTTAATATTTAATTTCTTTTAAATTATTTCATCCACATTTTTAATATGTTACGTCTGGCATAAGAAACTTTCACATCCCACCAGTTGAGTAGCACTGCACACAAGACAGTGAATTTTAACCTCAAACACAGGAAGATTTTAGGTGGTGGAAGTGTAAAGCAAAGACAAGAAGGTATTTTATCACAAAATAATACCCAAAATCAGATAAAACCTGTTTCAGTTTACCAAAATCTGAAACCAGAGAATGTCCAGATGAAGTGTGCTGAATGGGTTATGATAGTACAATTAATTATGCAGCAAACACGCTGATAGGGAAGGAAATTATTTTGACATCTAATAAGTTATATAAGCAATGTGAACCAGGTGGTTAAAGTATCATAAATTGCTGAATTCCAGTTCTGTTTACAGCTCAGATCAGTAATTTTAAAATGTATGTTTCTAAAGAAACATGGAGGAAAAATTAAATGATGAAATCTACTTAAAAAAATTTTCAGATTAAACTTGTCAATATCAACTCTTCTGATCTGGTGGATGGCAGACCACCAGTTGTGTTGGGTCTTATCTGGACCATTATCCTTTACTTCCAGGTATGTTTTTACATATGGATGTATTTTATAATGCGCATGTATTTCTTTCAGTTATTCCATTAAACAGAATTTTGTGAAGAGAAATGATTCAACATTTTTCATTAATCTTGTGTTTGGACAGTTAGTGAAATTAATTTTACTTTGCTTAGGTTTGGCTCACTTCATTTCAGTTTAGTCAAGTTAAGTTACATTCAGTTCAATTCAGTTCTTTATTTTGTATGATGCATCAACAGCCAAAAGGCCTATTCTAGATACAGAACAAGAAGCTCGTGAATATAACCAAAATAACGATAAACAGATTGTAATAAAATTACGTAATTATGCAGTAAATTTGAATGTGAATATCCATATGATGATCTATTGAACGAAAGACATTAATTTAATAATTCATGCTGTCAACACAAGTTGAAGTCAAATGCTGTGACCATTTTTATAAAATAGTTTTCACGGTAAAGAGTTTTAACCTCTGATTTACATGTTGGTGAGTGAGTAGTGACCATTAAACTAGCTCTGGATGCACAAGAATATAAATATGCTTATTACTAGTTAATATAACTTATATAAAAGACATTTCATTTTTTTCCAACGCAAGCTACGATACAAGGAATTTAAGGGGGTGAGTTTGTGATTGTCTTGTGTTTTTTTTTTGTATGATGTTTTACAACACTAAACTATTTATGGTGCACAAAACTTTTATTTGTTTGTAAAACATCTTTATAGCAAAGTAAATAAAGAAGAGGTTACATAAAATTATTTGTGTATTTTACAGTTCAGTCGTAAACACTCCTGTTTCATATTTGGCAGATCTTGGGTTGCAATTTCACCTTGGAGACCAGTTATCTTTACTGAGGCTTTTCATAGTTTTTCTCAGTTCTTCCTGGCACTGGAATAATACCTTAAAATATGTTATGGCTTGTGGCCTGTACGTCCTTTTCCAATTCATCATTTATAATTGTCTTATCATTCTTTGCATAATAATATATGCAACTGAACATCATCAAATAATGCAAAAATCAATCAACAAGGCACTTAACCCCCTCCTTGAAAAGAAGATTGACAGGCAGAGGAAAAACAGAGAAGGAACCTGAAATGACAGTAAAGATAGCATTTAATGGATGTTTTACAACTTTAATTTGACATCATCTATATTTACCATCAGATTAATTTCTAATTCTAAATATTTGAACATTTCCTGTCAGCTCTGTTGTGAAAGTTACTCAGAAACAATTAATCATAGATTTAGAATAATTTTACACAACAAATCTCTCCATAAGAAAGGTGCCGATAAAGAAAATTCTGTGTCCTAGTTTGATTTGATTGTGAAGAGGTGGATTGAATTAAACTGACTCTGGTTAGGATTTAATGGCAGTCCTTTGTGAGTATGTTACTGAATTTTCTATGACGAATGTCAATTACTTTAAATTTAAGCTATTACTTCATTTTTTATGCGTGTCATTCAAAGGTTAAATCTCAGATAGTAAAGCAAACAAGAGAATGGTGCATTATTTACAGTATCAGTCCATTTTGTGAACAATTTCAAGCTAGTGGTTATTTCAAAATTATTTGCCAAGTCAGAAACACAGAATGAATTCAAATGAGGGAAACTTGCAAGTACAGCAAGTTATAATTTGATTATAGGATTTAATTTGAATATATGTTCTTTTTGATATTACAAAACTAGAGATATATACTCTAATTTGGACATGCAGACACGTTTAAGTCACATTTTAAAGGTTACTGGAATAGTGACATTCTTATATCATATTTTTATTTACCGACATAGATTGAAGAAAACACACGAGCACTTGAATCTTTGGGTCACACATTTGGTGGGAGTGCCAGCAGTCTGGAGAGCCTGGGTGCACGCTCATCTGAAGGGGCAGTGGTTGAGGGAAAGAAGAAAGAGCCAGATGAAAGGAGGAGACAGGGTGCTAGGAGAGCAATGCTGCAATGGGTCACCAACGCGCTCCCAAAGTAAGACAGTTGTGTCTTCAAATATGAAGATAAATACCCTTACTTTTTGACTATAAATAGTTTTATACAACCTTGATTCAAATATGAATTAAAAATGATCAAATTATGTAATATTTACACTGCACATTTAAATTGTTGTATGGCCTTGAAATCAAGTTGCAGGACATGAAAAATATTCCTGATTTAGAAATTGTGTGTCATTTTATCAGATCTCTTGTCCATTGTCCATTATGTTGATTAATTATATTGCTAGATGCTGAATAAACTGTACTGAAAGATATAGCACAGCAAAACATCATCCACCTACATATTTTCAGTCGGCATGAAATTTGTTGCTTTGTTACAGGAACTGATAATGATGAAGATGTATTTTATAAGTGATTAGATTTTTAAAATATAACATTATGTTAATGAAAGGGCTAACACTGTTGTGTCTGATCTAACATCTTTAGAGTGGAGGTCAACATGAAATGAACAGTTATATTTAGACATAATTATGTCTACTTAATGTATTTGAATATGCATATTGAAACTGGTCCACGTACGTAATGGACTAATACAAACTCATTTTTAAATATTTGTGTTGATATTTTCTCTTAACAGACTTTTTCTCCTGAAAATAAATGTTGATATCTTTATAGGGATCTTGGTATTGAAGTACGAGATTTTGGCGGTAGTTGGCGTGATGGTACTGCATTCCTTGCCATTATTGATGCCATCAAGTCTGATTTAATAAACTTGTCAGCAATGCGTCAGGCATCTAACAAGACGCGTCTAGAAACAGCTTTCAGCGTGGCCGAGAGGGAACTCGGCATTGCACGACTTCTCGACGCAGAGGATGTCGATGTGCCCCAGCCTGATGAGAAGTCGATCATGACATATGTTGCTCAGTTCCTGCACAAATATCCTGAACCTAGGGTAGGTTCTGTGATGTTAAGTAATTGGATCTTAGAAGGACTTAGTCACAAGCAGATTTTAAATATTCACATTCTCTGTTTGTAAATTCTGTGTTTGATTTTATTATGAGACACATTGTGGTTTATTGAATACAGTTTGTAATTATTAGATGAGTATTATCGTGTAAGATTTGAGGTTTTCACGACGGTGAGTATGAAGATTTTTGTCTTCTGGGTCGTTGCGCTGTGTAGTCTGGTCGATGTTAACCAACGTTTCAGAGGTCATACTGCCTCCGTCATCAGGGCGATGAACAACAACCCAGAAGACAGAAATCTTCATTAAATTTTGTATTAGTGACTGTATATATGTCATTTAATTACAGGCTGCTGATGGCTCAAGTACTTTAGCTGCAATTGAAGCTGAATATAATGAACTCATATCATGGCTGCTGAAGAAGACTCAATACCTGGAACATCTCCAGCAAACTAACTCTTTGTCCAAGGTTTACTCTGTAAGTATGTCTGTCAGTTTATTGCAAAAGAAACTTATAGGCCTGCTGTAAACAAGCATGTTTTATGAATGATGTATTTTTTTAGTAAGTCTTATTTTACCAACAGATATTTAGAGTATAAATATGAAATAATGAACATTTAGAATTAAAATTCTGTGAAGATTAAAATTTAGAATGTGTAAAGTGAAGAAAATGAAATATTATCTGTTAATTGTGCAGGATTACGTAACATTCAAGAGTGAAGTTGATGAAAAGGCAAAAGTGTATGGGAAACTGAAGAGAGTGATTGAGTCGCAAAGCATGGTCAGCATTACTGTAGAGTCCTGGCAAGAAATTGAGAGGCTATGGACTAAACTAGAAGCACAGGTAAGATTTTTGTTTTTTTGCTAGAATATAATAATAACAATGAAATAACCATTAATTTAAGTTATTTTATCCAGTGTTTTGCACAGGTGGAAGATTAAGTGGTGATGTGGCTGATTATTTGGAAGGTATTCAGGTCAGATATGAACAGGAGATACTTGCTGTATGAACAGACATTTCTGTGGTTTTCCTGAGTTCCTCCAGAATTGTGTCTAGAAACAGACCACAACCTCTTTGCCCCAACAATTTTTAGTTCATCATCTAGTCATTATACCATTTCATTTAATGCAGTTGATGTAGTGTCATTAAGCAATATGCAGTATGTGGTACACATCAACAACACAAATGCCAACTTTTGGATCATTTCCTGTGTCATAAAAAAAGTTTTATCTTTGCATAAACAGGATGCAAGAGAGAAAAGGTAGTATTAATTTAGGCCGTAGAAAGTCTCGCTATGATCTGTATGTGTTATGAAAAAAATATTTCTGTATGAGCTGTGTATGTTACTGAATATTATGTAATTCTTACAGCTTCGCCACTGGCTGTGGCTACTGGACTCAGGACTGCCTGGTGATCTTGGCCAGGTAGGAGAGTGGCTAGGACGGGCCGAGGCTCTCTTAACCTCTGATGATATACCTAC